ACACAGTTTAAGTGGTTTGAAAATAAATAAAATATAGCCAGGTGGGTTTAGGAGGAGACCCAGAGAGAAGCAGCCATGCCAAGGAGCAAGTTGAACTTCTTTTCACATCCTTCCCCACACTGGCCTTAGAGAAATCACTTCATTTCTTTTTTTTTTCTGTTAAGTTAATTTTTTTATTTTGAGAGAGAGAGAGAGAAAGAGATTGGGGAGGGGAAGACAAGGGGAGAAAGAGAATCTCAAGCAGGCTCCATACTCTCAGCACAGAGCCCAGATCTCACAAACTGTGAGATCATGACCTGAGCCAAAATCAAGAGTCTGATGCTTAACCAACTGAGTCACCCAGGTGCCCCCCCCCCCCCCCGGCTTTTATTTGTTTTTTTTTTTTTTTTTGGGGGGGAGGGGGGGAGGAGGAGGAGAGAGAGAGAGAGAGAGAGAGAGAGAGAGAGAGAGAGAGAGAGAAGGGAGAGATAATCTCAAGCAGGTTCCACACTGTCAGCACAGGCCCGGCCCAACATGGGGCTTGAAGTCACAAACCATGAGATCATGACCGGAGCAGAAATCAAGAGTTGGATGCTCAACCGACTGAGCCACCCAGGCTCCCCAAATCACTTCATTTCTGAACCTCATTTTGCTTGCCTGTTGAGTAAAAATTACAACAATAAAGTAACTCGAGAGGGTTGTTTTAAGAATCAGACAGTGAGATATTAGGGGTGAAAATATGTCATTTATAAACTATAAAGCACTATACAAACATCATTACTATTCCTATTTAGTCCTTATTCAGAATGCCTGTGAGTGAAAGAACTAGAGAGATGTCCTCTGGCAGAGAATAAGATTTCTGGTGCTGGTGCCCAGGATTGTCTGCTCTCCTCCCCAGCACCCTCCCTGGCCCAGCCCTACCCCTAGCTGTGGGTTCAGCCAAGTAGGGAGTAGAGGAGGGCTGCGTCCCGGAATTGGAACACAGGGTGCCCTCTCTTCCTCTCTTGCACAATCAAGGCTGTGCAGAGTTCTTGGGACTACGGGAGAAGTGCATTTGGTGTGCCAGGTCAGCCACATTCAGGATTAGATAGACTTTTAGGGACTGCCCTGAGAACCTGATGACCCAAGATAACCTCATTTCTTTGGTCACCGGAATTGTGAGTTTTACACAACTGACTTTATAAATACACTCTGGAATATATAGCCTATTCTAAAAGTGAGGACTACTTGTACAGAACCAAATTGAACTGCTTGAACTGTGGTGTGTACTTCCAAAAAGAATGTAAAGACACATCATAACTAGGACACCCTGGGTGGCTCAGTTGGTTAAGTGTCCAACTCTTGGTTTCAGCTCAGGTGATGATCTTATGGTTTGTGGGTTCGAGCCCCATGTCAGGCTCTGCGCTGACGGCACAGAGCCTGCATGGGATTCTCTCTCTCTCTCTTTCTCTGCCCCTCCCCCAGGTGCACACACGTGCACACACTGTCTCTCAAAATAAATAAACTTAAAAAGAAATAAAGACATGGCATTTTTATAAACTGTGAGATATCACCCCATTGGGAAGTCCCTTTTCTTTTTCTTTTTTATCATTTTCTTTTACTGTTTGGGAGAGAGCCATAGTTACCTATTGATTTGTCTCTAGGATTCAATCCTGGGAGAACACCAAAGTGACTCATCAAGAATATGTGAAAGATAAGATTTCATGGATGCTGTGTGTAGGAATTAGTTGCCACAAGGGGTAAAATGCAATATAAAGGCACCAAGGAAAGTGTCTTTTAGTTGGTAGTAAGGTAATAAGGAGTGGGGCACCTGGCTGGCTTAGTCAGTAGAGCATGCAACGGTTGATCTCAGGGTTGCAAGTTCAAGTCCCATATTGGGTAAAGAGATTACTTAAGAATAAAAATCTTTACAAAAATATAAAAGGCAGGGTGACTTGGTGGCTCAGTTCAGTGTATGACTTTTGATTTTGGCTCAGGTCATGATCCCAGTTGTGGGATCAAGCCTTGTTTCAGGCTCCATGCTGAGTGTGGAGCCTGCTTAAGATTCTCTCTCTCTCTCTCTCTCTCTCTCTCTCTCTCTCTCTCTCCCTGACTCGTGCTTTCTCTCTCTAAAATAAAAACAAAACAAAAACAAAAACAGTGCTGAAGCAATTGGACATTCAATTGGACATTGAATTTTTTAAAAAAATTCAACATAACTCAAACATTATCTAAAAATTAACTCAAAATGGATTATGGACATAAATGTAAAAAAAAAAAAAGGTGATAAAGGAGAAAGTTTTCATATGGCCCATGAGTTTGAGAGGGAAGCAGAAACCTACAAGCTGATGGGGACCTTTTGCAAATACAACTTTTATATTATTTATTTATTTTTAATTTTTAATGTTTATTTGTTTTTGAGAGACAGGGAGAGCACAAGTGAGAGAGGGACAGAGAGAGGGAGACACAGAATCTGAAGCAGGCTTCAGGCTCTGAGCTGTCAGCACAGAGCCTGATGCAGGGCTCAAACTCACAAACCACGAGATCATGACCTGAGCTGAAGTCAGAAGCTTAGCCAACCGAGCCACCCAGGTGTCCCTATATATTATTTTCTATATATCAAAGAAACCTACCTGCCCTGTGCAGCTTAGTTTCCAGTGGGGCTGTAGGGGACCAATTGTAAGTGCACTATGGGTGCCATACTAGAAGCATGGAGGGCATTGGCAGATCAGTGCTTTCATCAACATCAGCTATTCTTTTTATTTATTTTTTAAAATTTATTCTTAACGTTTATTTATTATTGAGAGACAGAGAGAGACAGAGTATGAGCATGGGAGGGACAGAGAGAGGGGGAGACACAGAATCCGAAGCAGGCTCCACGCTCTAAGCTGTCAGCACAGAGCCCGAGGTGGGGCTCAAACTCACAAACTGCGAGATCATGATGTAAGCCAAAGTCGGATGCTCAACTGACTGAGTCAACCAGGCACCCCTCAGCTATTCTTTTTAAATTAATTAATTGGTTGATTGTTTTTCATAATTAATTAATTTAAATTTATATCCAAGTTAGCATATAGTGCAATACTGATTTCAGAAGTAGATTCCAGTGATTCATCCAAACATGATGATGTTTGGAATATTTTCATATTTCAAAATTGTCTTGGCAACAGTTTTATACAATAGAGATCCCCACACACGTGCCAGCCTGGGGCAAAAACCAAATAAGAGTCGGGTGATTGAGTTTGGGCTCATATCCTGAGATGATTCTGATCTCCCAAAGACAGAGGATATTCCAGCTGAGGTACCCAAATGTGTTCCAAATGTCACAGAAGATCTAGCAGAACTGAAGACTAAAGATGGGCTTCATTATTGTGAGCAGGACCATCCTAAGGAGGGTTTGAGGCTGAGCCTAGACATGAGATCTCTCTTGCCCCAGCCCAACATTTTTATATATGTGAATATGGTTTATTTTTATTCTTATGTTTTAAAGTTCAACGTTTTACTCTGAATTTGGACAAATGAGTGAATATGGTTTAAAAGATCAAGTACAGCTTAAAGTAAACACCAGGAACTAATAGATATAAGTATTAGAAGAATTGTACACTTGTTCGTTCGTTCATTCATTCATTCATTCATTCAATATTTAGCATCCAATAGAGCCTGGGCTTCAGTGGGGAATATGAGATGAATACACCTCTCAGCTCTTAAGAACATGCATTCTATTTGGATAAACAATGTGTGAACATAGTTTTGTGCAGAATGTCCTGAGAGCCTATAGAGGCTGTTGGAACAAGCAGGCTTACATTTTTTGAGCAGAGAGAGGGATGGCAAAGCTCAAATTTGATTGTGAGAAGAAGGAGGAGGTACTGAAAGCAGAGAGCAGAGTCAGTGCAAAGCCATGAAGCTATGAAAGAAACTGACAGGCTCAGAGTATTGACATAAGTCACGTGTGGTTGGAAAACAGAATACAGGCATGGGAGCTAAGGCTGCAGAGAGCAGGGACAGATCATAAGGACTGTTACACATGCCAAGGAGCTTGACACTTAATGAATAGATAATGAGAAACAAACCACAAGAAAGCTTTAATTCCCAAAGTGCCACAATCATATTTGCATTTTTAATAGATCACTGAGAAAGCAGTGAGAACAATTATAAAAGGCAAGAGCAAAGGAAAGGGACTACTTGGAAGCCCATAGCGATAACTTGACACAACATGAAAGCATTTTCATTATCAAAAATTTAAATAATACAGAAGCTATTGCAGGAACCAACACATTATCCTACTAATGGATACTTCAGTGGTTTCTATTTTTTTATTATTATTAACTATGAATATGCTTGTACAGGGGTTCAGTAAATTGCTTATGAAAAAGATTACTTCTAAAAATGGTCTTTTAAAAACCTAGATGCCAGGGGTGCCTGGCTGGCTCAGTCAGAAGAGCATGCGACTCTGGATATTGGGGTCATGAGTTCAAGCCCCTCATTGGGTATAGAGATTTTTTTAAATAAATAAAATTAAAACAACAACAACAACAAAACTAGATATGCCCATCTTGTTGGCACAGCTAAATAGATTTTTGGAGCATTAAGGGATGGACAAGATAGTAAGATAACTCTAATATTACTTTACATCCAATTAATATCAGCCAAAGCATGACTGAGCCCAGGACTACAGAGAAAAATACTAGTCCATCAGAATCCAGTCTGAGATAAAGTAGGACTCTTCACAGCTCTTGTTCTGGACTGAATGTTTTTGTCCCTCTAAAATTCATATGTTGAAAGCCTGACTCCCAATGTGACGGTATCAGGAGGTAGGGTCTTTGGGAGGTGATTAGGTCATGAGGGTACAGCTCTCATGAATGGGATTCATGTTCTTATAAAAGAGACTCCAGAGATCTCTCTTGGCCCTTCTACCGAGTGAGGACACGGTGAGAAGATGGTTGCGTTTATGAACCAGGAGGCAGGTTCTCACTGGACACTGAATCTGCTAGTGCCTTGATCTTGGACTTCTGGGGTCCAGAACTGTGAGAAATATATGTTGTTTAAGCCACCCATTCTGCCATTTCCTCATTGCATCTGGGAGAGCAAGATGGATCACCAGCAGCTCTACTGGAGCCATCCGAGGAAATTTGGCCAGGATTCTCGTTCTTGCCTCGTCCACTCAAACCACGTCCACTCAAAGCACGGTCTGATCTGGAAATACAGCCTCAACAGGTGCTGCCAGTGTTTCCATCAGTACTAAAAGGATATAGGCTTCATTAAGTTGGATTAAATGACCTTCCTTGAACGGATCATCCAAGATACATACTTTAATTGCAGATACCCAAGATAACCTACCTTAATGCCAACTCATTGTACATAAAATAAAAATACTTCAATTATGACTATTTTGAAGTGAAAATAAAAAGCCACCCAGTCTATTATTTTATTAGAGCAGCCCAAATGGGTTAAGGTAGTTCTCATGGATACACTTGGGAAGGCGAGGCACATGTGATGGAAATGTGATATATTTTTCCTATGAAGGCTTTCACCTAAAGAGGAACCTGGTGACCAAGGGGAGAAATCGGGCTAAGTGGAAACACCTCTCAGAGCAATGCAGCACATGAAGCTGATGGTCCAGGCAGCATCCAGGAGGCCATGTCCCACCAAATGACCACCATTGTGGTGGTTGGTTGGCTATAAGTGTTGGTCCTGGAAGGTCATTGACTTAAAACAAGGCCCTCCACTTTCCTCTCTCTGTGGCAGCTCTCTTACTGTGGTCATTTAATCATCAAAAAAACTGAAACCCTTACAAGGTCTGAGGTCAGATTTGTTTGGGGTCACGTCTCCCTTAGGTTTTGTACCAACTCCATCTCTCATAGATTGGTGTTAATTCTCTGCCTAAAGCCCTAGAGGGATGAAGGATCCCCAGTATCTCCCTTATAGATTCATCTTAGGGTCCCCCATACTTTCATAGTCAGGGATATACCCCAATATCTCCCATCTAAAGCTGAGCTTGATTTTCTTGGTTCAACTCTTTTTTTAAAAATTTTTTAAAATGTTTATTTATTTGAGAGAGAGAAGAGAGAGCACATGCACAAATGAGGAAGGGGCAGAGAGAGAGAGAGAGAGAGAATGAGAATCTTAAGCGGTCTCTGCAATGTCAGCGTAGAGTCTGACATGGGCCTCAAACCCACAAACCATGAGGTCATGTCCTGAGCTGAAATCAAGAGTCAGATGCCCAATCAACTGAGCCACCTAGGTGCCCCTCTTGGTTCCACTCTTAAAGACAAGGATAAGGACAGGAGTCAGCCATGATATTAGAGTTAAGACATCATGGACTATGGGATTCAAGACCAGTATAGAAACTTTTGAATGTTGGGCTAGACTAGAACTGTCTGTAGAGCTTCATATGTAGCAGGTTAGTATGTGCAGATTTAGTAATGGCTAGTTCTCCTGAGTAGTCACATAATTAAAAACGTCTCTTACCTGAGAAAAAAGATTCCTAAGAAGTATCATAAAACCATAGTGGGAGATCCATGTTTGTTTCAAACAACTACCAGCCATTACTTAAAGAAGATATCATTTCCTCCAATTTGCAGAAGAGAAAAGATCATGGGAAAGAATAGCATGCTCAAAGCAGATTCAGCCAAAGAGATTTTAATCTACCTGCAACAGGTCACTCTAATGCCCTCCCTTCTCATATCTCTTCTCTCGACTGATGGAGAAGAGCCTAGTCCTCTTGACTGTGTTCCAGTTGTCTGTTTCTCTTACCTCCCAATTGGAGATTTGGGACAGCAGAGACCACACTGTTTCAGCTCAGCAGCTGGTTTGTTGGATGAGTCTTTAAAATTTTAGGCTGGTAAGGGGCACCTGGGTGGCTCAGTCGGTTAAGCATCTGACTTTGCCTCAGAACATGATCTTGTGGTTTGTGGATTCAAGCCCCACGTTGGCCTCTGGGCTGACAGCTCAGAGCCTGGAGCCTGCTTTGGATTCTGTCTCTCTCTGTCTCTCTCTGTCTCTGTCTCTCTCCCCCTCTCAAAAATAAATAAACATAAAAAACTTTTTAAAAAATTAAGACTCATAGGGAAAAGCTGTAGACACAGGATTTCAGCCACATCTTTTATAACATCCTTTTGAAAGAAGTGTAGAAATACAAATAGGGTGAAAATGAAGATAATCCACCATACCCGAATTCTGACTGATGGGATCCATGTGAATCCAGAAGGAAAACTCTACTTAGGCTCCATCCTGGTTCAAAATTTTGCCCATGACTTGACTAAGTACAACAGTGACAACCTGATGAATCTGAAGCCAACATGAAACTAGAGAAGACAGTGAATAGAGGAGATAGACAGTGAATCCAAAGAGTGCTCAACAGGCTGGAACAACAGAGAGAATCTGGCAAGATGAAAGTGAACAGGGAAAAAAAGTCAAGTACACAGGCATTAGAGGAGAAGATGGGCTTTTTGTAGCACCCACGTAAAGGACTTAAGACGAGGTTAATGTACAAGAACAGAGAGATGTGCTACGATGATTAAAGGCTATAATTATAGAAGCATAATGTCAACAGTAAGGGAGGTGATTGACCTGATCTACTTTATACTGTCATGGCCACATCTACAACTTTACTTCTCAGGTTTTTGGCACACCCTGTAGGAAATATTTGTAAGAAAACAAACATTAGGGTATGTACAGGACAGTAAAAGCACTTGAAATCACATCTTAAAAGGATTGGTCAAAGGAATTCAGAATTTTACCTAGAATCAAAAATTTTTATCTTAAAGAAAAAATACTGATGGTGACATGATTTCTGTCTTGAAATATCTGAAGCTCTGACATACAAATGTGAAATGAAGTTGGGTCGTTTGACAGGAACATTTTGGAAGGAAGGCATCCCTTAGAGAATGATAGAATAGATGATGCCCAAGGCCCTTCCAGTTCAGAGAGGCTGCAGCCTTGTCCCTCTGGCATGTCACAGGACTCCTATGTGTCTTATATCCTCATGTATAAAATGATCTCCAAGCAGAGCTTTGATGTCCAAACTCTTTTCTTGCTCTGATTAGACTGTGTTTTTGTATCTCTTTTTCTTTGAAATTTCCCACAAGGCTGGGTACAGATGGGAGTTAATACATTCTTGTTCATGGCTACCTAGTTCCATTAAATGACAGCATGTGCTGCTCCAGGAAAGGCTATGTGAGGAGAGAGAACCTGCTGTTATGGTCAAATTGTATCCCTCCAAAATTCATAGGTTGAAGTCCTAACCCCCCCCCCCCCCCACCCAGTACCTCAGAATGGGACTGTATTTGGAGATAGGGTCTTAAAAGATGTAAGTTAGAATAGGTCGTATGAGTGGACCTAATCCTATATGAATGGTGTCCTTATAAGAAGGGGAAATTAGGACACAGGCCTGTGAAGACACGGAGAGAGGATGGCCATCCTTAGTCCAAGGGGAAATGCCTCAGAAGAAATCAATCCTGCCAACACTTTGATCCCCAACTTCCAGCCTCCAGAATTGTGAGAAAATCAATTTCTGTTGTTCAAGCCACCTAGTCCATGGTACTTTGTTACAGCAGCCCTTGTTACCCTGTATGCCTGCTATTTTCACATCTCCTTTGTTCTCACATACTGCAGGGAGAATAGGAATGGAAGGTTTTGTTTATGAAAACTCTTTCCAAAAGTGCCAAGCTGTAAGGACACTGCTAGGATTTATATTTAGATCTCATCCATCCTTTGCAGAAACGTGAAGCTTTTTCTTTGGTTCCAGAGTTTTGCGACTAGAACAGACTCTATACCACAGATCCCAAACTGGTGATCCAAATGGGTTGAATCTGGTCACAGACATGCTCTGTGTTAGTCCCCACATATTAAACATCTTTTTTGAAATAGTGTCAAATGCTTAAAATTTGAAGGACTTTCACATTAAAGCCCATATTTCTGGGTTCTCTTGGAAAATCAGAAGAGTCAGCTTCACTGGGCCTCCCTGGCAACAGTCTGTGGGAGTGAAGTAGTCCTCTCTTTAGATGGGGCGTGTATTCTCCACTTCCTATAGTCCCCACCCAGACTACTGAATTCATTTACCTGACCCCCGTTCAGCATTTCTGTCTGTGAGTCTTGTCAACTAAAAAGGGCAAAAATCTGTTACTCTTCACCTTGCAGAGAGTAACCACAGAATTTCCCCTCGATAGCAATAGATATGTTAAGTGTGATACTTCCTTTGCCTTTTGTTCAACTAGCAAAGCTTGTATCACATTCATCTCTTTGGATCCTGATTAAAAGTGGAGCATGAAATTGAGAGCATGCTGCTGTAGGAAAGGGTTGTAGAAGCATGGAAGGCTCAGGCTTAGGAAAGACTGAAAACAAGAAATGAGAGGACTAGCTGTCCTTGGCCTCTGGCAGCCTGACCAGATGCTCCAAGTAATTAGCACCCTGGACTGCCAACAGTATTGCATTCACAAAGGATAACTTAAATTGCCAAGAACAGCAAGGCAATTGTTCTTGCTTCAAGGTCTCTGGGATGGAAAGCATGTAGAATCACACCTGCATGGTGGAGGACACGGTCTCTCTTGTGCTTCTTTGAGATGAATTGATGCCATTGAGCAAAAGTCTGCATGAAATGTCTTAGTCACCTGTTCTCTTCCTAGGACATAAGAGAAATTGGTTTAAGACCTGATTACACTGTAAAAAAACATTTTGAATGGTTCTGAAGAGCTAAAACAGGTTTTGTTACAAGTGAAAGAGCTACGAACAACTATAATAGCCATAAAAAGAAGAGCTTATGACAAAACCAACATTTCCTCAAAAAATGGAAGGAAGGAGCAGAATGTCCCTTTATGCCATGTCCACTGTATTGAGCAACTTTTCACAAGGCTGCATGGTTGTGCCATAGCACTGTAAGGATGGTAGCCATGATAGGAGGAAGAAAGGAAGAGCTCAGAGAGAGTTCACCATTCCTCTTTCTGATCAAAGAAAGGGGGGCGGGGAGTGTCAGAAAATGGAGAAATACAAATAGGTCCCACAAAGATACAGCACTTACTTCTCTTACAGTGATAAAGGGAAGATTTTCTTGCCGGAAGTTTCTGTCTTTATCTTATGGCTTGCAAGACCAGGCAGTTGAGCCGGATGTCAACTTTCCACTTGAAATCCAGCAATGTGAGAGGGAAAAAAGGCTTCCTAAGAACCTAATTCAGAGCAAAGCTGTACTTAGGTCTGGTAGAAGTAATGTCATCTTACATTAAACAACCTAAATCTCATCATGTAATTAATTCCTTTGCTTAAAATCACTCAGTGGCTCCCCATGTGCTTAGGAAAAAGTCCAAATTTCTATGTCTGGCCCCTGATCCTTGACTACTTCCCTAGACTCATCTTCTATTATACACCTTTCGAGCTCTGACCACCCTGGATTTCTTTAAGTTCCTCTTA